GTCCCACAGATTCAGGTGTGTGTGATCACGTCTCTTGGTGTTGAGGAAGACAGTGACAGATGGGCTCTCAGATGCCGAGGTGGCTTCGCGTCGGCTTGCCCTTGGTCTCGCCAAGAGCTGCCGTATCAATGTTGACCCGCCAGAAGCGTCATGAACACCCACACGATCAACAAAGTGCTGTAACTTCATCGCTCTTGAACAGTTGACATTGCTATCAACATTGCACGCAGTCCCCTCCACCAGCCATCATGTGCCTCTCCGTCAAATCCTCCGACTCGCTACCTACCAGTACTCTCCGCCTCCCCGCGCGTCGCCAACCGCGTCACCCCTCACGCCCCTCTACAACAGAATCGTCCCATTCTCCCCCGTAATAAGCTCAATCTCGCCCGGAATAACCGTCCCATTCTCCACGGCCGCCGCATGACCCCTCGCCACCGCCCCATAAACCGGAAGATACTTGTCCAAGTACGGCAGCAGCTCTTTCGCACCAGGCGTATTGCGCCAATCCCGCATGAGATCGCATACAATGGAGAAGAGAGAAACGAGCTGCACACCCGCGGCCTGCATGCGCGCGTTTGCCGTGTCGCGCACGAGCTGCGTGTAGGTGCCGCTGGATTCGACGTTGGCGAAGACGGAGTAGCCTTCTGAGCGCAGGGCGAGGGCGAGGAAGGTGGTGCAGACGTCGGTTGTGATGCCGCCGACGATGATTTGCGTGCGGTTTGTTGCGCGGATGGCGGCGCGGAAGGCTTCGTTGTCCCAGGCGCTGGGGATGTGTTAGGAGGGGTGTTTGTTGAGAGGCAGGCATTGTGATGTGTTGACACAAGGTATAGTGATAACAATGAGGAAGACGACTTACCTAACCTCACCCTGACGCCGGATAAGAGGCGCATCAGGATACATCTCTAGCATCTCCTTCGGCAAAGGCCCATTGGGTCCTTGATCTGCAGACGTGCTCAAAATGACAGGTATATCAAAAACTTTCCCAAGTTCGGCGTGCGCCAGGATGTTTTGCTTGTAGAGGGTTGGGTCCCAGTCTCTGGCTAGCTGGAAGAGGCCGACTTGCAAGTCGAGAATGAGGAGGAGCTACGTGGGACGTTAGATAGGGAGATGGGGTTGGAGAGTATGAAGAAGACTCACCGCCTTGTCCTTGTCGATGCGCTCCCATGGTACAGCTGAGGCAAGTTAGTTGCTGGAAGCCATGTCTTACAGGGCAATCGTACCATCACCGCACACAGTGTTGAACAGCGTGAGGGCCGCGAGGGCGATGGCGGAACTGAACTTCATCTTAACGACTGATGAATGATCGGTATATCAGGCTATGCTCCGGAGTCTAAGAAGTATCCGATATTATTGCAATGGATGTGTAACTTGAGAGCAGTTGGAAGACCTCTTTATACGTCTACAGAGTCTTCAGCCTCATCCACCTTGACTCCTACCTCCCGCCCAAACCTCGTTCAATCGCATCTACTCCACTGCGCAGATACCTCGCCACGCCACGCCACGCCTTGGCCCGCAAGCCCACCCTCGTACAAGATGCTTTAGGTCCATGTTAAGGCGGAGCACGTAACCAAGTCCTGCATTGGTGCAGCTTCAGACTACCATCTCGACCCGGAGATCTTGTTGTTTGCAATGCTATCAAAGCCATGACAAACACTGTGCCCAGATTATTTGCCAGCCTCACGGCTCAGCATTGGCTACCTTCATGATATAGCCCCGCATCACGGGTCCTAGTCGAGACGTCGTGCATGGGCGAAGCGGGCCATCGTCGACATCCTTGGTGTTGAGGCGTCGTATACGACGGCGACAATCTGAGTAAGACTTTGATAATCAGTGGTGCAATGGGCGAGGACAATGTGGTGCGATAACCGTCAATGGTGTTCTGAGCTCTCCCTATCGTGCACGGAGGTGTGGAGACGCCGAGCGTTTTCTGCACACCTAGCTGTCAAGTCAGCAATGACAAGGCTTATTCATCAGCATTTGGTCACCACGCTTGCGCGGAATTTTCGGGGAAGCGAGATCGTGCCTGAGTGTCACTGCTTGCGATCATTTAGTCAAGGCTTAGAAAGTCAACCCAGGTACTTCAGTATTGGTGATGGCTTGCGACAGGCATGTGCATGAGTAAGCCACACCGAATACAACGCGCAAAACTTTCAGGTGACGATTTTTGTGCATGATATTACAAAGAATACGTATTCATTCTCTGACGCTAGTTTAGAATATGCATCAAACTTGCGAAATGCGCATTCAGCGCCCAGCCTCAACGGAAGAATAGACGCGACACACAATACAAAGTACGACGCTTACTGCGCAGCAAGACCGTTGCTAGCCAAGAAGTCCTGCATCACTTGGTAGCCAGCTGTGGCGTTGTAGTGGAAGTTCAAACCGTGGCCAGTGTTAGGCTGGATGTAGGACTCGAAAGCAGAGGCGTTGGGGTAGGCCATGGCGACGCCCTCGGGGATGTTGGAGGCGTTGGAACCCATGAGTTGACCGTAGCAGTTGCCACCACAGAAGGGAACGTCTGTCTCCCCAGTGATGACAAGGACGGGGCCAGTGAAGGGAGACGAGCTGGGTGAGCCGCCGATAGTCAAGAGTTCGCCGGTGGTGACGGGCTGCTTGGTCTTCTCGGCTACGAGAGCGAGGCCGACGTCGTAGTTGCCGGGCTGGAGGAAAGCGTACTGTAGGGCTGTGAGGTCGGAGTGTGCCATGTAGCCGGAGGGGTAGTCGTATTGGGTAACGGTCTTGTTGTATCCGTTGATCAAGTCGAGGACTTCGGTGGTCGCGAGCTCGTTCCAGACCTCGTCGGAGGTCAGGTCCACACCAGCGGCCGCAAGGATCTTCTGAAGACTGCCAACGATGTTGTCGCTTAGGTCGTACTGGCTGGCGATGGATTCGATGACATCGTTGGACGCATTTCCGAAGCGGAGGGGCTGGTTGAGACGGGCGCTGTGTAGGTTCCATCCGGCAGTGATGTATGCGAGGAATTGTCCGGCGACGGAGAATCCGGTGAGGATGACGCCGTCGGTGTTCTCGGGGTAGAGGGCGGAGAGCCAGTAGGACTGAACGCTGCCGAAGGAGTGGCCAACGTGGATGACCTTCTCGTATGCGCAGCTGATCTCTGGGATCTTGCCCTCACGCAGCTGTGTAGTGACAGAGTTGAGGGCTTCGACTTCCGCTTGTGCTTGGATCCTGAAGAAAATACCTGATTAGTATATGGTACACAACGATTGCTATAGAGTTGTCACTTACTCGTTGAAGGGGTCTCCGTGAGACGAGTTACCGATACCGAGACGGTCGATCGCGAGCGTACTGTAACCAGCGGCCAACGCGACGTCGACGTAGCTGTAATTGTAGTTTTCGTACTCCAGATCCCAGTAAGTCTTGTCAAAGCCGATACCGTGGCTCAAGAGCTGAATCGTGTTTCCGCTACCGCTGGCTGGCTTACAGTATTGCGCAGAGATGTTGTAGGTTCCTTGAAGGGTCTGGTAACCCTCAAGAAGCTCCGCGCTGTAGTTCTTGCCGAACTGGTTGAAGCTAGCTACGAATGCGCCGACGTCGAGGTTACCTTCGACTGGTACTTCCTTGAACTGTCCCTGTCGCGAGGTGATAGGGGTCTGTATCATGAAGTTTGCGCATTGTCTGGCGGCAGCGACGCTGGCCAGGGCGAGGGGTAGCAATGCTTTGAGTGGAGCCATTTTGTTGCGGAAGAATGGTGAGTTGAAGTGAGACTTGACCTGAGTACTGGTGGTTCATTCGCGACCGAATGTGGCCGCCACATTATATAGTACCAACAGCACACGACTGGCTCCTGCACCCTTACATTACAACCCTTCCAATACTGGAGCTACCAACAAATCCAAAGCGCGCGAACTCGTCGATCGAACTTTCCATAGCGTTGCCGAACAGTTTATTCATCCGAATTGACGTTGTGCAACCAATAGTTGATTATCGGCCCTCTAGTTAATGTACCGCAGGGAACCATATGCAGGTAAAATCAGCAGCTAACTCAAGTACCGGCAAGGCGACATCCGAAAGAAGGAGATTGTGAGGTGCGAAAGCAAGTAGTCCCGCGCCGAGCGCGGTTTTACCCCAGTAGTTAGTGGGACTCCGTGGGGCATCATAGGCTGGATTGGGTAATCGATGAAGTATGGCAGCCGTTAGCTCTTGTATAATGAGACTACTCGCCACCATAGGCGGAAGCTACGGTACGCAGGTACACTGAAATGTGCTCCCCTACGCCTAGAACGCGTCCATAACATACGTATATGGTCAATTAGGCCACGGAGATGTTTCGCAACGAGTCTTCGCGCTGGACGTGAACCGTTCACTTGTGCTTTTGTGCGGTGGGTTGACAGAGACGCAGGGACTCCTTGCAGCCGAAGTTATCGTTGGTTGTATTTGCAATAGCCTCGTGATGTGGTTCGGCAGTACCCAAGTAGCGACGGTACACGACCTGCATGAAGGTGGGTGGTCGGAACCAGACCAATCCTCGGGACCACGCTGCACTGTGACTGGACACAACACGAATGTGTAAGCAACAAGACGTTCGCGTCTTGATACCCGGGCAGCGAGATCCTCGACAATGACGCGATTATAATTGCCTTTGGTTTGTAATTGAGCACGGTCGCAATGTCCGTGGTGTTGATCGTTGACTTGCGCTAAGAATTTGGAATCTTCGGCCTTGATCGCAGAAGGCGCGCCGTGCCCCCTAAACGTCATGGCCCGCTCTGCGACGGCAACGAGGCTTCCGTGACGATCGCGCATCTTCTTCTAGAACAGCTATCTCCGGTAGCAGGAATATCAAATCATGGTTTTCAGCGAGAGGCGGGGCATGAGGTACTGTAGTCGAGAGGTGATAACGTGAGGAGATTTCAGTTCATGTTCCACGAGGATGTCTCCGGCAGCCCGAAGACACCGCTAACCCCTTATGGGCTTTGTACTATTCAAGACTTGCTCAATACCACATGTCTGCACTACACGGCTGATTCTTGACTACTTTGGCTCTAGGAAACCTTTTTCTTCAACATGTAATCTCCACCTTTGACCGCCTTGTAGATGCCATAGAGTCCACTTAAGAAAGCGTTGCTCTTCACGATGCGTTTCAGCATACCTTTCAGGCCTGGACCGAACTCTTCCTTTCTTCCTCGGTCTTTGACCTTGTCCCATATTGTTGGCAGAGAATCTGCATTGTACTTGCTGCGTAGCGTATCATACTCGCGCTTATCGTAGACTTGCCACCATTCGTTTTCGGTGTAGAAAACTCGGCTGTATAGCCACTTCAGTCCACCCAGCTCGCGCATCTTTGCTTCGATCTCACGATTTGCGCGAACGTATTCAGCCTCGTTTGAAGAATAAGGGCCCCAGATACCAACGCTGATGTATTTGCCGTCATAAACGCCCTTCTCTTTCCCACTGACAAGACCCTCGAACGGCTTGGGATGACCCATCGAGCTTCTACCATCCTGCCGTAGCGGACACAACCAGAGCGGATATATGTTGAAGGCTTGATCTGAATACTGCAAGAAAGATGCAGTGTTGGCGGCTGGGAACGCGATGTCGTGGATTATGAATCGATCCGTGTATCCGGACACATGTAATGCATGATACATGATCCTCGTGTGCATAAAGTAGTCCAGCAAGAAGCGTGTGAACCACATGAAAGGAACCATAAACTGCTTGTAAGCATACATTCCCATCCAGAATGCTCCTCGATCATAACGAAATAGGTAGTCTTCCACAGGGACAAGCTCTTTCGTGATGATGCCTTTTGCCGCAAGCTTCTTTGCGCGTATCCAAAACCACTCGTCCCATGGTCTGGAGAATCTTTGAATCGGCAAGTCCGGCGTACGGTCTTTGTCAACGAGGCGCCCTGTTACGACCACTCCGGCACCTTTGGAGAACAAGACTCCGTCAACGTAATCGTTCCTTTCGTCGGTGGTATGGTACTGAATCTTATCTGTCGCGTTCTCGAAGGAAAAGGTTGGATGGTAGGTAACTTCAACCAGCTTCTTGAGAGGAACAAGCTGCATCTCCACCAGCGTGAGCACACCGAGTGTTCCAAAGCTACCTCTTAAACCCTCAAACAGCTCTTGATTCTCGTTCTGGGATGCCGTGACAAGCGTGCCATCTGCCAGAACCACTTCTGCGCTCAACACTGTACGGTCGAAAAATCCGTACTTGAAGCTGCTACTTTCTCCTGCTGTGCCTACGAAGCCTCCTCCTACGGTGATGCCTGGGAACTCCATAACCACAGGAGGCAACAAGCCCGCCTTCATGGTTTCCTTGACCAAGGCATCCATAGGGACATTTGGTTCGACAAGCGCCGTTCTTTTTACTCTGTCGATGGATAGGACGTGGTTGAGGGAGCTTACGTCCACGATAGCATCTCGGTCGAAATGGGCATGGCGGGTGCTGTTCGTGCTACCATGATAAACACGAAATGCGGTCTTGTTGTGGTAGAAATGCTGAATGCGAGAACGTACTGTCTCTACAGTAGCCCGGTGACTGTCCATCTGGAAGATGGTGTGGAGCCGACTGCAGCGATGCGATTGGTGTTGCTTTCCTGCGTGATGTGTGGCTGCGAGATGAGGCTGAAGAGGCTGCGCTAGTAGCGGTCGTACCTACCCGCGGATTCACGAGTTTGAACCACCAATCTTTCTTTCCTACTATCGCAGTCGCGACAACAGTATGCTGAAAGCTGCCAGCTACTGCCTGAGCCGTATTTCGTATTCAATGCGCAAGCCAAAACCTTGGGGGTGGAAAAACCTTCCCGAACGCCGTACGTCAGCGTTCTTAGCGAGTGGATCGTCTTCCGCGCTTCCGGTCCCTATGGGGCGCCCGATCTCATCATCCAAGATGCGGAAGGTGACGCCCGCGCATACGATTGCGATTATGGTTTCTCTGGAGCAGCATCAATGACAGCTCGTCGCCTGGATATCTACAATGGCTGAAACCATGAAGAGGAATGCATACGGATCCTTCGCCCCACACCCACACAAGAGCGGCTTTTGGTCCGGGGCGGATAGTCAGACATTGACTTTAGCAGGATCCAACGGGTAGTGGAGAAGGCTCAGCCCTGCAGCTTATGTATACATCAAAAGCAACGCCACACCATGTTCCTTTCAACCTCGGACCGCCCGACAACATCGTTACATCTCGTTGCATCATTACACGCACACTATGGATACTCATAACTCTACAGTAGCGACTCTGGCATCGCAAGTCGCCCGCTTCAGTGCTTCGAAGACCCCATTCCGCATTTACCATGGTTCTACACTATCAACACGCAAATCGTCTCGTGATCGGAATCAGATTATCGATGTCAGTTCACTCAACCATGTGCTCCAGTTTGATGAGACCGAAAAGACGGTATTGGTGGAGCCGAACGTGCCGATGGATAAACTTGTGGAAGCTACAATGGCCAAAGGTTTCCTGCCCAAAGTCGTCATGGAACTCCCGAACATTACAGTCGGTGGCGGGTGAGTGATTAACGACAAGACGTAGCCCAGTAGTCACTCGAGTCCTCCATCAAGTTCATAGTGATGAACAGAAAGCCGAAGACGTCTGAGCAGATTACATGGCATGGAGAACTGCTAACTAAGATTGACAGATTCGCTGGCACCAGCGGCGAGAGCAGCTCCTATAAGTACGGGTTGTTCGATCGCACCATCTCCGGCATCGAGCTTATCCTAGGAAACGGCGAGGTAGTATGGGCATCGGCAGAAGAAAACCGCGATCTGTTCTTCACAGCAGCAGGAAGTTGCGGAAGTCTAGGCGTCATTACCCTACTCAAAATGGAGCTCATTGACGCACGTCGATATGTTGAGTTGGAGTACATTCCAGTTCGCTCAACAAACGAGGCCGTCGAGCAATTTCGACGCTACCAAGACGATCTCGAGGTCGAATACATGGACGGCATCCTGTATTCGATGACGAGTGGCGTGATTATGATCGGTCGCCTGACGGATGGTCATGATGCTCCAATGAATAGAAGGATTCAGAGTTTCGACAAAGCGACAGACCCCTGGCTATACATGCATGCAGAAGACGTTCTGAAGCGGGCCCAGGACGAGAAACAAACACACAAGGAGCTTGTGCCTGTTCAGTCCTATCTGTTCCGCTACGACAGAGGCGTCTTCTGGTCAGGGCTGCGCGCGTTCAAATACTTCGTCACGCCCTTCAATCGTCTCACGCGCTTTCTACTAGATCCTTTCATGTACTCCCGGACCATGGTACACGCTCTGCATCGCTCAGGTCTCGCATCCCGAACTATTATCCAAGATTACGGTGTACCATACGACGCGGCGGAAGAATTCGTTCGATGGACCGACGAAAGGACTGGTATCTGGCCGCTCTGGCTGTGTCCAGTGAAGTCGGCGCCTCGTGGGGAGCGAAGCTTCTCCCAAGGTAACAATATCAAAGACGACATTCTCCTCGACGTGGGTATCTGGGACATGGGACCAAGCGACGCCCACGAATTCATCAAGCTGGACAGAGACTTTGAAGCCAAAGTCACGGAGCTAGGGGGTATGAAGTGTCTGTACGCGCATGCATATTATACGGAGCAAGAGTTCTGGGATATCTACGACGAGAAGAAGTACATGGACCTGCGGAGGAAGTACCACGCCGAAAGCTTGCCAAGTGTTTACGATAAAGTGAAAGTCGATCTGCAAGGCGTTGCCGGAGGGAAAAGCGTGATGAAGACGGAGTCGTGGAACGAATGGACATACCGGCAGTTCTGGGATACATGGCCGCTTGGTGGGTTGTACGGGGTTGCGAGCGCAACGAAGGGGTTGTTTTTCCAAAGCGACTTCTTATTGAAGAAGTGACAGCGCATCGTACCGAAGATGGCTGGACATCGGGGAATGCGTGGGGAGATCCATTGCATCGGCATGCGCCTCAAAAGCATCGTGATGCACGCCAGGGCCGTGTTGCCCTGACAGCTGGCTGCAGGTCTAGAAGAATGACGATCGGCGGACTAGAGGCTCAAACGCGTCCTGAACTACGTGAATGGCTTGCGGTGACGTTGTGCACATGGTATAATGAGTGGACAGTGACTGATGGGGGTGGTAGTTCACACGTAACAAACCGGTTCACAGCCTGTTTCAGTTCAGACGGGAGATGGCCGTGGGTGAAAACGCGTAGAGGGCGCCGGTAGTCGCGTGTACGTCAGGGCTGGGTTAGCGTGAAAGCTCGACCACTCGCGGCTCGACTCACCGCAAGCTCGCATTGACGTAGCAAAGGTGCTAGCCTCCACCCAACCACCCCATTTCGCCCACCACAACAGGCGCCCGTCAACCATTTTTTGAATATAGACAAACTTGGCCCTGTCTCTCCCCGTACCCCACCACACCCGCGCCCTCCGCTCCTTCCGCTCCTTCCGCTTGTACCAACTGCAACACTCGCGGTTGCCAGCCACGGGCCGATTGACGATCTTGCTCTGTTGACGAAATTTTGGCCAGGTACGTAGCTCCAGCACCACGTGTCGCGACCATTCACTGCCGCCGCCCGGAAGCTCCCGTTGTCTAATACCGCATCCAGAAGGTACCCGCAGCCAGAACACTGCCCAATCGCTCAACCATGGCGCGCCTCAGTGGCCTACCATCTGAGCACCACCACGAGGGTCCCGGTGACGCTCCTCGACGCAAGCGCGGCCGCCCGTCCAAGAACCAGACACCCACCGACGATATGACGTCTGCCGTAAAGCGAACCGCGTCGCCCTCGGCAGAGCTCTCGCAAACGAAGCGCAGCAAGCGCGTCCAGGCCGACGACGACGAGGACCAGATCGCCGAAGAGATCCAGCAGTCCTTCTCGCGGTCGCAACAGGGAGACAACATCAATGTCGAGCAGAGCAGCACCACCACGCGCCGCTACAACCGCCGACACTCGGAGCCTCCTGTCGCCGTCGACGAGGACGAGGACGAGCTCATGTTCAACCGCCCTGCCTCTACACAACCCCTCCCTGGCCTGACGCCCCATCTCGACCGCGTCGGTGCCTCCCGCAGCCGCTTCACCAATACCCGCCGCTCTCGCATGTCTATGCCAGCTCAGCTTCACATTGAACGCGTCGACGAGGTCGATGAGACCAACGGCAACCGCGTCCAGTTCGCGCCCCTCACACAAGTCCTAGACGGCCGCGCCCGTCGCCGCCTTCGCCGCAGCCATTTGAGCCAAGAAGTAAACGACTTCGAGGACCACCAGAAGAAGGACAAGAAGATGTTCTTGGAGCTACGTCGCCAGCTGAAGGCCCAGGACGACAAGATCAAGGACCTCGAGTACCGTCTGGAGGCCCGCCGACTTGGCGAGATCGACCTCGAAGACGCAGACGCCAACGATCTGCAAGTGGAGCTAGACGAGGCCCGCCAGCAGATCGACGAGCTGCGCGCGTCCTCGTTATACAACGGCGACGACAACGAGCCAGTTGAGTTGTCCGACGACGAGGATGGTCTGGTCATGGTCAACCCCGAGGAGCTGAACATGTCGCAGGATCTCGACATGGTGACAACCCCTACCGGCGAGTACTCCTCCCGCGCACTGGAGATCTCTAGCCAAATGACACTCGAGTCTCTGCCGACCGTATCACAGCTCAACCGCGACAGCCTGACTGAAGGCGAGGAGATCATCCTGGACAAGATCGAAGACGAAGCTATCGAGCGCTACGAGCGGGAGCTGAAGCAGATGAGCAAGGCCCTAGGCGAATCCCAAGGTGCGCTGCGCTTAATTACCATCGAGCTGCAGAACCTCCGCTTCATCGAGGCTGGTGCTTCCTCTCGCGAAATCCTCACCGAGTTGCGCCATGGATTCGAGGACCTTCGCGCCGAAATCGAGAAGTTCTTCCCCGGTACCACTGTCGGCCTTACCAACCAACAGCTCCTTCAGAAGGTCCCGGAACTCTTCAGTGGTATCTTCTACGAGCTCAAGCAGAAGCTCACTCTTATCAACAGCTCCCAGAAGACCGAAGTGCTTCTCCGACGACAGTACGAGGGTGTTCTGGACTTGCTTGGCGACTCAGAGGAGCGCGTGAAGCAGCTTGAATCCGAAGTATTCACTCTCGACAAGGCGAACGAAGACAAGGCGCGCGTCATCCTTGATCTCGAGGAGCGCAACGCTGCCTTGACCACACTGTCGGCCGAACAAGAGCGCCAGCTTGCCGAGCAAGATGGTCACATCGCTGGCCTGCAAGACGAGAACGAAGAGAAGGACACCTCCCTGGCACAACTACGTGAAGATCTCGAGAAGTACCGCGTCGACCTTGACACCGTTACCGTCACCGCAGCGGAGTTCGAGACGACCCACCACGAGACGATCGCTCGCATGGAACAGGAATACACCGAGCGCATTCAAGCTCTGGAGACCGAACTCGGCATCGAGCAGGAGGGTCGCGATGCTGCAGAGGCTGATGTCGCACAAAAGAATACCTACATCGAGGAATTGGAGGACAGCATCACACGCATGGAGACCGATGTTGATAACATCACCACCGATATGGCTACACTGAGGGAACGTCTAGCTG